GGTGGATTCGTGCCTTTCACCAGGCTATTTGCGTGTAAGTGAATATAACGAATCCAGCTGGAATTGGAACTCGCCTCTCCGATTAACAATTCCCAGCCATTATCCATTACACCACCCGCATATGCTTGACTCGGCTTGATATTGCTTAATTTTGGTGATCGTACGAGAACCAGTGTCTTTTATAAAAAAAAAATATTTTAAAGATTTTATACATACACAAAAGTAACAACTAATGGATAGGCGTAAAACTCGTTATGCAAATCTTCCAATTAAATAAAATCGAAGCCTTTACTAACCTACAATTATTTGAGACGTTACACTATAATGGCAGCTATCAAAAACGCTTACAGAAATACATACATTATAACTAGTAACTGGACAGTGGAATACGTCCCTCTTGGGACCCGATAGTTTAGTCCTAAGGATCAGGCAGTTGAACTCCTATGTTGCTCAAACACTCCAAAGTAAAGTGCGTCCATACAGGGTGTGGTCCATACAGGGTGCGATGGATAAATAGTCGCCATTTTATATTTTTAATTTCGTGCATGAGCATTGCTTCGATTCTGTTAACTATACAGTATAGTTGGGTCAGTTGAGAAAAAGAGCTTGATAACGTAATCCATTACTCCGCCAGAAATTTGGAAACAACTACTTGGCATTCGCACCGGAAGCTCCAATATGAACATTTCAGTCTGTTTGGGTATCAGTTTGAGAGAGTTCAGAGGATTCAGAAAGAGTTGGATAAGAATAATGGTGATTACTAAGGTGTTTTGCGTAATTACTAGTAATGGCAATGTTATACCTCCATTCATATTCCCACAGGGCTTCAGACTCAACACGGAGGCCTATATCAAGTGCTTTGAGGAAGTAGTGCTATCCTGGGTCAAGAGAGTGGCTGCTGGAAGACCCTATATCTGGCAATAGAACTCTTCACCATGCTACACAAGCAAGAGAATCAAGTGATGGTTGTCAGACAAATTCTACAATCACGTCACCCCCTACATCTTGCCACCTAACCACCCAGACTGTAACCCCCTTGATTATTATGTGTGGGGTGCAGCTGAGCAACAGACCAACAAAACTCCTTGTAACACCAAAGATGGACGAAGGCAAGGATTATAGCAGCATTTACCAATTTAAACAAGGAGACTGTCCAGAAGAGTTACAGGAGATTCCGAAGTCGTCTGCAGGCCGTGGTTGAAGCCAATAGTAATTTTATTGAATAAATTTACTCTTTAGTATTTCAAGATTTTTTTGTGCAATTTTGGTAATTATATCTTAAATATATTGGTTAAAATGAGATGTTAGTGTTATTTTTTTTTTTATTATTCATTCATCTATTTATTTATTTATTTTGCGTAATTTAGATGACAATTTATCCATCGCACCCTGTACAGTTTGCTGTTGGCGCAATTGTAGGCGTTGTTATCAAAACGCCTAAGATATTTCAACGTAGATTTGAATAAGATTTATTTTTAACCTTTAATTTGTCCGGAAATATCCAGCAGTCAGTGGAATTTGAATTCAATGTTTTCATTCTACTAGGCTGGCTGTCGAACAAGACAGGAGATTCTAATCCAGTTGGCCAATTAATCTATAGATAGAGAAAAGTATTCATACTTTTTCCAATGTCACAGTGAGGATTTGAATATATATATATATATATATAGAGAGAGAGAGAGAGAGAGAGGAGAGAGAGAGGGATACACACACACAAACTCGGTGTGCGATGAATAAATTGTCGTCTAGTAACAGTTGAAATTTCTGAGACAAATAATGATGAATGGGAGCCTGGACAATTTAACATAGACAAGCCGGAAAGAGGGTCCATGTTGTATGCTTACACATTGAAAGAGGGTCCGGGTTGTATGCTTAGCTTACACACTGAACCCTTACATCTATTCTTTTTGGGCAGAAACGGAATTATTTAGTGAAAAACTTAATTCCTTAGCATAAGTTTTTAACAAGATGGAGAAAAATCACTTTAACATTTAAGCACTAGTTAAAAAAAAAGCACAGGCACAAGTTTGTGTACCTTTATATATATATATATATATATATATATATATATATATATATATATATGTGTGTGTGTGCACGTGTTTATATCTGTTACGTATATGTATGAATGTGCATGTGTGTGTGCAAGTGCGTGTAGGTAAACGTATGAATATAGGCATCTGCAGACAAATTTAAACAATAAATAAAAATTCAATTATAAACCTAATCGCTTACAATTAACACAGTAATAGTACTTAAGACATTACCAATCAGATAACAAGACGAAATAATAGCTAAACATATAACTATTTACTTTATTATTTAAGGATTAAAATTAATTATTTATGTAAAAAAAATCAAATCAAATTTTCCTAACGCAATAAAAAGGCTAGAACCCTCCGAGATTAACGACGAGAGCCTGTTTAGAAAAAAAAGTCAAATAGCAACAATTGCAAGAAAAGAGGAAAAAGAAAAGTGAGAGATGGTTAAAGAGTGAAAATACGAAATGGGCAAATAATCACGACACCTATCCATACGCACATCCGCGCAGACGAGCGCATAGGCGCACACATACATTATGAAAAAAAAGTTGAATCAGTGATAAGTGCATATAAAAAACAAAAATCGAGATTTACAAGCAGTCAATTGTTGATACCTTCTAACGAGTGGACTCGTCAACTAAACTCTGGAGTCAGGAATTGAAGGCAACATCAATCAGCCTTATACTTGCAATAATTATATATATATATATATATATATATATATATATATATATATTAATTGATTTAAAATATGGCTTTTCCGCTACACATGCATACATGAGAAACTATATATTACTAAGTTTATAAAAACGGAAAAAACTATATTTTAAATCAATTAATTTACATTGAGCACTAGTTTGTAAAAATAAAAATATTTATAAAAACAGCGGATTATATATCTTACTGTTCTTTCTTTATATATATATATATATATATATATATATATATATATATATATATATATATATATATATAGTTTCATTAAAGATGACTTACAAGGTACTGTGATTAAGTTTGTTATTCAATTTTTCTTCTGTTCGTATAAATGATTTATTTTCTGGCTATAAAATGTGTAAAAACTGCCCGAATGTTCTATGCAACTGAGCACATTCGGTTATCCCTTTCGCCATAATCAAGGATGACTTTTATTTTTGACTGGATGTGCAGATTTTTATATATATTTCTAAAGTGATGGGAACATTTCTTTTTTTTTAAATTTTCCAAACACGGACAACATATTGTGGCCGTGTTCATAATTTGATGTTATTGTATGTTGGCTTTTTCTTTTTTTATTATTAGCGCTTCCATTATTTTTTAGTCTTTTCTACAAGTGGATGAAGATATTATAAATGTATTTTCTACAGGTATGTCGCAGATGGAGTTTGGTAGGTGTCCGTGTGTGTTTAAATCCTAATTGAATCAAGGATATGGTTTGATCAGGAATGCACATGCATTATGAAAAAGAAAGTTGAATTTGTGATGAGTGCATATAAAAAAGAAAAATTGAGGTAAAGGACACGTGAATTCATAAATGATATTGGTTTTCTGATCAGACTAGATTCATGAATAATTATATTGGTCATACAACTACATGCCTATCATGAAGACTCACGTTGCACCTCTTGGACCATAGTTCAATTAATACATATTTAAACTCACAAGGAAACTTACCAAACTGAATCCGCAAAATTGAATAAAAAGCTTAATCGCAGTACCTTGTCAGTCGTCATTAATGAAATTTGTATAAAAGAGGGATTTAGTATATACTTGTATAAGTGTGGGACATATATATATAAGACATTTTTTTTATGTTGACACGTTCTTTTTATAGATACAAATATTTAAGTAAATGCTCTGTTCGTAATATACAGTATTAACAACATTTACCGGTCTGAATGTCCGAGAAATGTTCCTAGAAAATATGCGTCCTCCGACAGGAATCGAACCCGTATCCTATACGGAACCGTTATATAGCCTGACGTGCCTTAATCGATTGGACCACATAGGAGCGTTTCGGTTAGCAAGGTCGATTTTACTGGTTTTAAACTACAATTCTCCATGATTTTTTCTCTTCATTCATATCTGCTCAATGCGTATCCAAATATAAACAAATGACGTCACACATCATGAAATGGACAAAGTCCGACAATAATTTAAGACATGTTTTTATGTTTATACGTTATTTTTATAGATGCAAATATTTAAGTAAATGCACTGTTTATAAATGTTGTTAATACTGTTATACAGTATTAACAACATTTAATTTAAAATTTCTCGGACATTCAAAGCAAGCAGCTGGAAACAAAATAGCAAAAGATAACGTTTTATACCAATAAATGTTTGTCAGTATTTGTGAAAAATCGGCAAACAAAAAGTACATTTCATATGGAACAACCTAACATTACCATTTTCAACATTGCTTTTTTCAACACTTCTTTGACGTTCGCATTTTGCAAATATGTAACCACAGAACACCATACTGTAGTCGTCATCACGAATTTAATCATGCTACTAGGTTGGCATTTAGGTCCCACGTTTTTATTATTTAAATACCTAAATGCAAACGCCATTTCTACTCCAGCAGTGTATTTTCTCACCCTCGTTTCCGTTTCTTTGCTTCCATGATAAATACAATCTTCAAAAGTTTAACTGCAACGTCTATCACCATCTTCTGTCAGGCTGAACCCCGTTCATTTTTTTATCGTTTCCTCAATCCTTCTTATTTTTTTCTCACACAATCACTCCCTGTAACCCACTGCGTACTAGTGGCATTTCCACCTTTCTTGAGGTGAAATGATTAAAAAAATAATTTTTTTTTTCATTTTTTATAAAAGTCGGCAAGCGCAAATACCTTTCGTATGGAGCGACATAATATTAGGATAGTCTTATTTCTGAAAAAAAAAACTTTCTGTTTTTTTTTTATATAAAATTATACTTGGCTCTGCAAGTTAACATTATATGGTCGCTTCCTACATTAACTTTCTTTATAAAGCTTCTGCTAACATCTTTCACGACTTAAGTGCGTGATACATGTTTTGGCTATCATATCCTTTTCGATTCAAGACTGATGAGGCAGAAGATTTTCCCGTAGTAGATTGCCTTTTCTTTCTGCGATAGACTGGTTGCCAACCAACGCTATAGGACTGCATTTATATTGATATTTAATTCATATTTGGTGGCACAATGGGCAACTTGATGTGGTGTAATGGCTAGCAAGTCTGTCTTTATATCTCAGTTCCGATTGAATAGTGAGATTTTTCCTTACGGAGTTCTCCACACTTTCGGTTTGGTGTCATATCTAAGCTACGCTTAGTAAATTGCCATAACTGGGCGAGGAGAAAAGATGGATTTATATCTTTTTTCTTAAGGGAAGCTAACGAACTCTGTCATCAATTCCTCAGTAACGGCATTAGTAATTATAAAAACCATTTCATTTTTTGTTGCTTCATTTTGACGTTTTCTACTCCAATTATGGTTTCTTTGTTTTTGAAAATTGTATCGATAATTGTCATTTCTTTATGTTTCTATGTGAAGGTAACATTTCGACAGTTTCTTTTCCCTATTCCCTTTCCCAAATTTTACCACGCTTGATTTTTCGTTTTTTTTTTCTTCTCAGTGGATCTGTACATAAGTTTTCCATAAGAATCGTGATTTCGTTCCGTTTTGCGTTATACATTTTGCTGTAAATTGAAATGTGTGTGTTTGTGTTCTGACTATCAAGTTTTCTTACAAACGTAGAAACAACGATAAGTATGAAGGAAAATTTTAATTTAAATTGAAACATCGATCGTCATTGTATGTTTAAACTGCAACTGGTGTATAATGTATTTGATTTTTTTTTTAATATAACTGCTAGGGGATGCTAACTTAATTCCCCTCTAAAATGAAAATATTTCAAAATACAATGGAGTTACTTCCCTTGTCCGGCAGATCAGCGCGGCACAACGGAATCCAACATGATCACAAGCTGACACGGACGAATTCATGGTTTCAATCCAAACAAATCCTTGCTGTTCTCAGACAGTAAATGAATAACAGTTGTTTTATTATGTGTTAAAATATGCTTGTCTTTTATTTTGATTCCTTTTTGTTCATCCCAACAACCTGTTATATGCAACAATTACATCAATAAAGCCTTTATTTTCTCTAAATTCATTCATTTGCCTACGATACACCAATATTTTTTAATTATCGAAACACTGAAACTATCAATATACGGAGATTAGAAAGCATTTTAATGTTATTTCCCTTCAGTTCGAAGGCGATAATGGCTCTCCACAGCTTCGCTGCCTCTTTTATTTGTGAATTGCTATGGCCTTTTGAAAAAAAAGTGGAGTGGGTTCCTGTTGTATTCTCCATGGTTTTACATTTGGAGTAATTTTCATTGTAGATTGACTGCCACCCATGGCTTGCCCTGCTATTTAATCCATAGTTACATGGGGAAAAGATGGATTCATGCCTTTATCAGAGGTATTTAACCGAAAGTGAATACAAAAGACATGACCGGAACTTGATTCGCATGTTCCATTCTCGGTGTTGATAGATATTACGTTATCTGCACATCCGTTAGTCTTCTTTTATGGGTCATAACCATTCGGGATGAGGGTGATTATTCTTAAAATGGCAAAAAAGGAGTCTCTGACAAATGTCGAAATAGTGACTTATCCGCGGATAAATTTCGGAACTCGCTGGCGTTTTTATTTATTTATTTTCAATTTCCGCTGCTTGTTAGCCATCTTGGAACGACGGCGTAAGAGTTGCGATAAAAAAAAAGGCAATGAGAACATGGCGAAAGGATAACGAGTCAATAATTAATAATAAATGAATGTTTTTGTCTCGAGGTTTTGCACATACGCAGAAAGGTGCTTCGAAATATGTGACGGACGAAGCAAAGCACAAGACAAAAGAAGAAAATGGAAAATATCCATTTACTGTGCATTAAAGATTGAAAAACCTTTTTTCTCATTAAACTGAATAACCTTGCAAAGATTCAACAGAAAAATATCCGATACTGCAGGGACAAAACAGTAGCCTCTTCTGTGACATATTCGAAAAAAATCATTTTAATAACTTTTTCCTTAAAGAGAATATATAAATATATAAACAATCAAATACAGAGAAGAGAGAGAGAGAGAGAGAGACAGAGACAGAGACAGGGACAAAGAGAGAGAGAGAGAGAGAGAGAGAGAGAGCGAGACACACACATAAACGTACACACACACACATACATATATATATATATATATATATATATATATATATATATATATATATATATATATATATATATATATCTCTCTCTCTCTCTCTCTATATATATATATATATATATATATATAATATATATATATATATGTAGAGAGAGAGAGAGTAATATTTCTATAAATGTATATAATTGTTATTATTTCAATTTATATTTGTATATTCGTGTGTTTATTTGTTTTTGAAAACTATATGTTTACTATAGTTTACTATTTGTTTACTATAGTGCTCATTATTTTTTTAATAAAGAGGTAATTTCTTTTTTTTTAATAAAGAGGTAATTTCTTTTTTTTAATAAAGAGGTAATTTCTTTTTTTAATAAAGAGGTAATTTCTTTTTTTAATAAAGAGGTAATTTCTTTTTTTTAATAAAGATGCAATTTCTTTTTTTTAATAAAGAGGTAATTTCTTTTTTTAATAAATAGGTAATTTCTTTTTTTTAATAAAGAGGTAATTTCTTTTTTTTAATAAAGAGTTAATTTCTTTTTTTAATAAAGAGGTAACATTTATTTTAATAAGAGGTAAACATATAACACATAAATCAATGCCAATCCAAAATAATTTAATATTAATTTATTTATATATATATATATATATATATATATATATATATATATACTTTACTTTAAGATATTAAATTGAAAAAAGCATGTCAAAATCGTTATACAATTGTAGTCGTGTTTCGATTCTTTTAAACGCATCTGATCAGGTGATTGTAAATATTGTTCTACTTTGTTTCGAGCCCTCTTTTAAATGAAACGTTATGAACGATGGAATTGTACCCTATTCGTTCTCATCTTACCTGGATATATATATATATATATATATATATATATATATATATATATATATATATATATATATATATATCACTCATTTAAACATTTATTTAACTACTCCCTTTAAAATTTCTCTCTTTTAAATTTTATTCCTCACCCTCGTCTTAGGCCCTTTCTTGTTCTTCTTCTTTTTTCCGTTACACCGCTCTCTAGAGCTTTCATACATTTTCTCTCACCCTTGTTTCTCACTCCCACATATGCACTTTCACTGAAATTTGTTTTTTTTAAATGGAGATATATTTTCTGTTTTCTTTTCGAATTTGTAGGCTTGATGAATTAAATCGTGATAACGATTCAAATGTAATAAATTATAACGATGGAATATTAGTATTTGAGCGTTTTATATTATATTCTTGCTCTATCTTGTACATAGAGCTCTCTACCCGGGTTTTATCATCTTAGAAATATCTATCTATCTATCTATCTATCTATCTATCTATCTATCTATCTATCTATTAACCACTAATGTCTATCTCCGTCTCTCCATATACATATATATATATATATATATATATATATATATATATATATATATATATATGTATGTATGTATACACAAAGAAATAATCACGGATAGAATCAATCAGAAATTTCTTTTATTTTATTTTATTTCTTTGTATATAAATATATGCGGCCTAATGGTTTATGTTTATATATATATATATATATATATATATATATATATATATATATATATAAACCACTTATGTCTATCTCCGTCTCTCTCATATATATATATATATATATATATATATATATATATATATATATATATATACACAAAAGAAATAATCACGCATAGAATCAATCAGCAACTTCTTTTATGTTATTTCATTTTTTGTATATAAATATATGCTGCCTAAAGTTTTATGTTTATATATATATATATATATATATATATATATATATATATATATATACATATATTAACCACTGATGTCTATCTCCGTCTCTCCATATATATATATATATATATATATATACACAAAGAAATAATCACGCATAGAATCAATCAGCAATTCCTTTATTTTATTTTATTTCTTTGTATATAAATATATGCTGCCTAATGTCTTATGTTTATATATATATAATATTACTATAAACGTTATACAGGGTGAGGCAGACATACCCCCCACATATACCTTCCAAAAAATACCTTCCACATAATGGCAAGATATTATAGACAATGGTGTCTTCATCGACCTGTGGTTTTACAACTGTGTGGGAGGGTATATGTGGTGCGTGTCTTTCTGCCGTACCCTCTATTTCGTGGATAAACATGTTTCAGTACGCATTTCTTTATTTAGACTTACGATCTCTATGGCAGTAGACATTAATTCTACTGTTTAAATTACTGATGCACTCCAAAAATATAACCTTTATAATAATAATAATAATAATGTCGGTTTAAAATATATATTAAATTGTTTTTTTAAGATAATTTTATTTAGTTTTCGCGCACGAAATTAACTTAAGTAGATATAAACTTTGAAATGTGACAACAAAAGATGTAAGTTTCATTTGTGATGTCAACGAACACTCGTTTGACACCTTTGTAATGTCAAATAATACTCGTTATCACTTTAGTAATGCTCGCTTTAGTAGAGACTTTGTATTTGCAGATACAACTATAGTAACGCCGTTGAACAATACTGGTGTCAGACGCCTTCGAATATCACTCGCACTAATAGTACTTGGTCGATAATAATCGCTCGAATAGTAATCACCGTATAATGATCTGAATAGTAATCTGTATAATGATCAGTATACAGAAATGTAGGGAAAAGTATGAATCCTCCTTTTTTCACCCCAGCTAGTGGGTGGGGGGGGTAGAAGAAGAGGATAGAGAAACTGTATAGTGAATAATATAGAGAATAGCAATCCGTATAGTAATAGAGTATAGTGCAGAAATAGTGATCAGTATAGTAATAGAGGATAGAATAGATATAGTGATCAATTAGACATCACACTAATTCCCATGTATACATTTCCTTTACTATTACGTGATCAACTTATTCAAAATTGGATCGCCTGTGCTTGCTCTCTGGCGATCCCTGTTAAAAATCCAATGACGGCAGCGACACTTTATTCCTATATAAAAGCTTCTTAGGTAATTTAGCATTGTTTTGCTTTAATGGCTTTTCGTAGCTTAACGGTAAAGCACGCTTGACTTTAAAACAGTTTATCGAATAAGAAAAATAAAGGGATATAATTTCTTTTACTGTCGGATTGCACATTTTCACAATTATTGCTTTAGATTTATAGGGCTGTAGACATTAACTTCAAACACTCGAAGCCACTTAATATAACCTTTATAATACGAAGAAACAATAATAAAATCTTTTTTTATGGCCTGAAATATTATTGTCTATATATCTAGTTATTTTCCATACCCTCAACTTTTTTTATGTTATCGTTTATGTACGAGAGTAAGTAAAAAATAATCCGTGTTTTCGCCATAACGTATCTTTAGACAGGCGTATAGTTAACTTTTAACTTTCCCTGGTAGATATATTTATTCATATTCAGAAATACATATTTGGTTATAATAATTATTTATGAATGCATATTATTCTTCATATATATATATATATATATATATATATATATATATATATATATATATATATATATATATATATATATATATATATGAAATGACAATTGGAAAAAAGAATCTTACATTTTGCCGACGCGTTTCGTCTTCCGAGTTTTTCAAGGCAAACTGCAAGATTTTTTTTTCCAATTGTCATTTGATACCAATCTGTCTTGTCCACAGAATTCATCTGGGAATTTAACTATATATATATATATATATATATATATATATATATATATATATATATATATATATATATATACAGACAGAGATTGCTTACACACGCCCTCACGCACAAACACACACACACATCTATAAATATATATTATTAAATATAACAATTAATGTCTATAATGTCTATTATTATATGATCATGAGCCGTTTTAATGTCCGAATGTTTGCTTTAATTTCGTGTGAAAATAAAGACAAAAATTGTCCAACATTTGGATATTTTTTTCTTAATTTGTTCCTCAGCTTTCGGCTCACATGAGCCATCCTCAGATTAGTTATACAGACATGAAACAAAGCTATCCACCTTCAAAGGTGATATTTTGTTATTTTGCTCTAGGAAATTGCTATGCGACGATAACGGTTGCAGAATAGCAAATGCAGATCGGAAGTTCAAGATGCGGTTCTATGACGTCATACCACGCGATAGGCCGAAGTATTACAACATAACCAATGTCAAGATGCAATATAATGTGTTGTGACTAGTTTGAAATGTAATTTTGTCGAGAGTCGGTTGCTTCGTTTTAATGTAGATGGCCTACAATATTTGAAGGTTCTTTTTACTGTGTGTATGCGTATTATCAACTAATATCTGTCTAATATCATGTACATCTCTCTCTCTCTCTCTCTCTATATATATATATATATATATATATATATATATATATATAGATAAAAATGGGGCGTCTATTTTAAATAACAAGTACCCTCATAATAATGTTAATAAATATCGGGTTAAAAATAAACCCATTACTTCTTTAGAAATTGCTTTCTTTACGTTTCAGATACGTAACTTAGCAGATATAGGTTTTCGTGAAATATAATCTGAGTGAGGAGGATGTGCTTTACTTAAATCAGCTAAAATAGCCTTGCTTACTGTAGCCGAGCAGTAAAGCACGCTGGATCAAACGGTAATTTCCTCTATAGAGGAGGACGCAGGTTCGATCTCTGCCAGAGGACACATTTACTTTGCTAAAACTTCTCGAATGTACAGACCGATAGATATAATATACGCTGGGGAGGATATTTCAAAAATAAAGTATCCATTATAATAACGTTTGAAATCATAAAAATGCCGGATTAAACACTACAACCCACACACATCATCGACATTATCATCTGAACGTCTCTACTTAATCATTATGGTGATTTTCTAAGCATAGCTTAGATGTGGAACAAGGCTGAATATATGAGGCACCCAGTGAGGATTGAACACACTATTATAGTTGTAATCGATCTTGCGAAAATTGATTTTCTTTCTCCGATTAAACATAGTTTCGATGTCTTTGATTTTGCTTTTCAATTCAGCCTCTTTTTATTCATGTATCTTATTGATGTTTTATCTCTAACCAAGGTGTAACATTGTATTTACGTAATGTTCTGTTAAGTTTTCTGTGATCACATGCATTTTCAGGTTTCTGCAAAATAATATAGTCTGCATTGACACATGTATAAGCACTTCCATAGCAAAATTTGGAAAACTTAGCTGACTATATATATATATATATATATTATAAATTAATTGATTTAAAATATGGTTATTTTCGCTACACAGTTCCAACCATGTTTCAAAAATAGAAGCTAAAAACCCCTAATTTTATTTTTGCAAATAAATTAAAAGCATTAGTTCCATTTCATCTTCAAGAAAAATTCGCTTGAAGATGAAATGGAACTAATGCTTTTAATTTATTTGCAAAAATAAAATTAGGGTTTTAGCTTTCATTTTTGAAACATGGTTGAAACTGTGTAGCGAAAATAACCATATTTTAAAATCAATTAATTTATAATATTAATGCTCTGTAAATTTACATTGAGCACTATTTTGTAAAAATAAAATATCTATAAGAACACCGGATTTTATATCTTACTGTTCTTTCTTTTATTTATTTATATATATATATATATATATATATATATATATATATATATATATATATATATATATATATAGTCAGCTATGTTTTGCTATGGAAATGTATATATATAGCAATGAGTCTAGAAGAATCCTCAACAGAATGCAGAAAGAGAAAGCACTGGACGGACGTTTCGTCCTATCTGGGACTCATCAGCAGTGCGCATCCACTACCGAGAATCGAACCCGGACCGTTTCGATACAACGCAAACGTTATACCAACTGTACTCGGTGACAAAGAAGACACAAGCTAGACTCGATATAGCGTGCTACTCACTCAGTTCCGCAGCGATACTCATCCAAATATTAAGATAACCTCGAATATATATATATATATATATATATATATATATATATATATATATATATATATATATATATATATATATAAAAAACCTACATTGACACATGTATAAGCATTTCCATAGCAACATTTGTAAAACTTAGCTGACTATATATATATATATATATATATATATATATATATATATATATATATATATATATATATCGTCAGCTAAGTTTTCCAATGTTGCTATGGAAATATATATATATATATTCCAAATCGGTAGCACGACACGGTGTTTAATGCACAAACGCAATATTCAGGTGCTGGGTAGAGACTGACCGTTACATAATTTCAATTTTAATAACAAAATATCTGTTTAACGCAATGTTGGCGCAGTCCATATATTATACGGGGATTACTGCTTTTATTTAAAAATTGTTTCATTTAAAATAGACGGGAATTTTATTTTATATATATAAAAACGGGGATAAGTTTTTTTTTTATATTTAAATAAACAGGGATTAATCGTATTTATTACAAAAAAACCCAAAACTATTAATATAGACGGACCTAAAACTAAAAAATAAACATACCATAAAAAAACCCCCAGAAAACATATAAAAAAAGAAATATAAAAACATAAAAAAGATAAAAACGATAAGTTCATAATTTACATTAAAAATTAAACTGGATCAACGTATTTCAACAGATGCTTTATTTTTATGCCTACATTTAACGATCAAATAATTTCTCTGATTTAATAGTTTTATTTAAGTGTTTTAAGATACAGATTTTTTTTCTGCAAGGCATAAATTACATGTAACGCCTTTCCCAAGATTTTTTTTCTACAATATCCCAAGTAATAATGGGTGTATTACCATCATTCTTTAATTGCCAGAAATATTTGCAGAATGCAGTACTGTTCGTGTATATTATATTACCTAAAGTTAGTCAATGATGAGAGAAAGGAAATTTCCAATGATTTTAAGTGGAACCAAAATAAAATTTGATATCGTTACCGGAATGTATGCTAGCTCGGTGTACAATTTTATCAATCATATATTAACCATTTAAGGGATAGTAGTTCATATATATATATATATATATATATATATATATATATATATATATATATTGTGTATTGGCTCATGATCAAACATAATAGACATTCGTTGTCTGTTATATTTAAAAATAAAACACACACACACACACACACACACACACACACACACACACACACACACACACACATATATATATATATATATAGACAAAAAGAAAACTTATATTAGCCGACGAGTTTCATCTACTGAGGGACGTTATCAAGGCAGATGTTAGGATTTTATTTTGCAACAATTATATATATATATATACAAGAGCAAAAATGTTACCGTTTTTTTTTTCAAATTATGTTTAAATCTATAACCATTCAAAATATATAACACATAAATCAATCCCAATCCCAAATAATTTAATATTAATTTATATATATATATATATATATATATATATATATATATATATATATATATATATATATATATACACACACATTCGTTATTAGGCATTGAATTGTATCACTTGACGTCCATGAACTTGCTTGTTTTCCGCTAACCTGATGATTTTTGCTCTTGTATATAATTACTTGTCACTAAATAATTTTTTTACATTTGCCTTAATAAAATCCCTCAGAGGACGAAACGCATCAGCTAAAATAAGCTTTCGTTTGATATTATCTATATTATCCTTTTGCAAATCCACCCTCTCATGAAACAATTTTAGCCTATCATGGTAAAATTAGATTTAAAAGTAAGCATCCACGTATCTTTAGATTTTTCAATGTAAAAGTAAATTTTGCGTTTTTTTATTCAGCTCAACATATCTCTGTATATATAGGTATGTATGCGTGTGTTTATGTACAGTTCCTACACTGAAAAAAATTACACACACACAGAAACACACCACACACACGCGCGTACACACAGACACATACACAGATATATAGGAAGAGAGAGAGAGAGAGAGAGAGAGGGCAAACATTATTTTATACTGCTTTAGTACTAACCAAATGAAGAAAGCTTTGTTCTATACAAGCTTATATATATATATATATATATATATACGCAATATATATATATATATATATATATATATATATATATATATTTATATATATTTATATAAAAGGCAGGATGTGTGTGTGTGTGTGTGTGTGTGTGTGTGTGTGTGTGTGTGTGTGTGTGTAACGAATGCATGGCCGCAATTTTCGACGGATTTGCACCAAAATTTACATGCACATGCTCCAAGTTAGCGGGAAGGCCAAGACCGACTTTGCATTTCCCAACTCCCATCGATAGTGGAAATAATCGATTTTTTCATGCTTCTACAGTAGTTTTCATATAGTTTGTGGCCATTTTCTATTGGCCAGAGTGAGAGCCTATAGCTGGCTGCCACGAATAGGCAGGAAGATTCTATTGGCCAGCGTGAGAGCCAACAGCTGACTGACACGAATGCTAACTAGCATGCTCGCATGCAAAAAAAATCGATAGCTGCATTCGTCACAAGTGGGAAAAATTTAAATCTGCATGGCACTTTACTCCAATTGGCTCATTCGCTTGCTTAAACTCAACGTTGATTCTGATTCCGCAGAACTGGGTTGGGTGTGAAAAAAGTATTTGTTGTTAACATTCTTTTTTTCATTCGGTTTTTCCAGTTACGAGTCCTTTTTTAAAGCTGATCGTTTTGTGTTCATTTTGTTTAGTTCTTTTTCGTAACAAATTTAATATTTAGTATAGAGCTTAGAAAAATTCGCAGTGTGAAGTAAGGCATGTAGCAACATCAGCACGGCAAAGAATCAAACACGGCAACGCCAGGCCATGCTGCTAGTATATATATATATATATATATATATATATATATATATATATATATATATATATATATTTAAATTAAAATTGAAATCATCGTACGTTCCTGCGCATGTACAGTCACATCGGCGTAAACATGCTTAGTTCGATGAAGTCCTAAAGGACGAAATGCATCACCGAAAATTTTATCCACTTTGTTATACATGTTTCATCTAAGAGATATGTATGTATATATGTGTACGTTTCCGTATCCTTGCCGCCCCATGTTGCCCAACAAAAAAATAAATTTCCGACGACATCGCTCTCAGAATCATTGGAACACGCAAGCTTCTTCCCCACGGCAAGTGTGTGTATGTGTGTGTGTGTGTGTGTGTGTGTTGTGTGTGTGTGTGTGAGTGTGTGTTATGTGTTGTGATGTGTGTGGTATGTTGGAAAGCCTAACAACTATTGATATTTTGTAATTTGGTCATTTCTAGAGAATTTGGTTGTGTCACCATCATTTCAACACGCACTCTAACATCATTGCACATCGTTTCGTATTCTTGTAAAATTTCTAAGTACCTACTTAGTAAATCGCTAAAAAACATCCAATATTTTTCAATTCTGACAAATGCCGTTGCTTGAGAAAAGATTAATGAATTTTAATCTACAACAATTATTTCCTGAAAAAAAATCATCCCTGTTTTTTGGACCAATCTATTTAAGTAATGCCTATTTCCTAAGCTTAATGCAAGGCCAAATAGACAGAAATTCTATAGGAAGATTGTATTCCCTTAATCCTACAAAAGGAGAGGTCCTGCTTATCTTAAAGGCCAGAATTCGAAATTCTTCCTAGGATCGAAACCGTACACCAAACGCTAAAAGGAAGTACAACTATCCCTCTGCCTGCCTGTCTCTCTCTCTCTCTCTCTCTCTCTCTTTCTCTCTTATTGTCTTCTTCCTTTTCTGTTCAGCGTGTTTCATCCATTAAATGAAAACATACCCCCCTATTCTCACTCGCACGAACATCCCCTTTCTTTTCCCCTTGAGTCTGTATTTTGTATTTGCAGGTAACATACAATTAGATACCCATTCTCTTGTCAGATCTACTTTTACCCACAGTCAGCAAATAAAGAGACATCATCGTTTGTCACTTAAAAGCAGATCTTAAAAGCACAGTAGTTCGACAATTGCTCAATCGTTAAACCATTATGAGTTACCTTAATCGAATCCAAATCAACGAATCTTCAATTCCCAGTCTACAACGGAATGTCCAAACGGATAATAAAAGAACCATTCACTTCCCTTAATTTACTTGATTCTCAGGTGATGACCACTGGCAATTGATCAGGGTCCATTTTTCTCAGCTGCAAAGCAATCGCTTAAACTTTATTTACGCCAACTTTGGAATACTGACAACAAATTGATAAATTCCCCAACTCTTACTGCATTTCTACACCTTTAAAATTCGTCCTGGAAGCGTGAAAAGACTGCTAATCTTCTATATATTCCAAATTCTTCTTCTTCTTCTTCTTCTTCTTCTTCTTCTATTTGCTGTGTCCCTTCAGAACGTGGGTGATCATGGCTCTCCACAAGTTCCTGTTCTTTGCAACTCTTAGTAAAGGTTGTCTTTTCGCAAAAGATCAAAAGTCTGGTATGTCTTAGTTCTGAAAAGTTCTTGAAACACTTCCCCTCTTTTTACTTACCAGAGCTCATATTGCAATTTTGTTATTATTATTGCTACTCTCCAGCACTCCATATTACTGGTTCCCATATTGCATTTATTTTATGCTTCGCCTGCTAAGAGAGATTTTTGTGGCCTAGCATATGTGCTGATTCCTTAAGTTTTACTATTGTCCTCTACATTTTCAATATCATCCCACAGGAGACAGTGATCTCTCTTTTCCTTCCATATGTGGTCAGCTACACATGATTTTTTTAATTCCTCTCGTGATACGGCTTTATGGTACTTGCAGTCTTAACTTAAGGGGACGGCTTGTTTTTTTTTATATTTCTTACCACAGCTGCACGAGATGGTGTGCACACAGTTCTTATTCATGTTCACCTCTATGGGGTGGGTGGGGGTCTAACTCGGAAGAGGTGTCTGTGAAGTTCGAACCACTTTTGAGGTTTATAAGTCCCAAATATTCACACACTGTTGCCCTCAAGGACACATGGCCGAGTGGATAAAAGCGTTGGTTAGATCCAGTGACTTCATCCAAAGAGTTGTGTGTTCAATACCTGGCTACTGGAGTAGTGAACAAAAACTTGGAGAGGTGAGTTAAAGGGAGATAACTGAGATATCCGGAAGAGGCATGGCGCGTAGAACTAGAACAGTCTACTGAAATAGAGAGTTCAGTTAGAAAGCCCGAGCGTACAACGGTCGAAACGTCGTGAATATGGCCATAAAGATGAGGACAACAATGTACAAAATGTAAATGATACCTTGTATTACAAAAAGAAAAAAAAACGGTACAACTCATTATGAGCTGCATTTCTTAGTTCCAACAAGTTCAGACCTTCAGATCTAGGTCTTGCCATGCCAGGTTCACAATTAGTAAGGGGAAAGTTCTAATTAGACAGCTTCTTCCCCAGAATTGTTACAAGCTTGGGCTGAAAAGTTCATAGGTTAGATATAAAAGAAATGACGTTAGAGCTGTGAAATCTTGCATGCATTAATATCATGTGGGAAAAACAACGTATTTATTAATGAGAAGAGTTGAAATTAATGCATGCAAAATTTTAGAGCTCTAGCGTCTAGTTGGCCTATGAATTTTTCAGCCAATCCTTGTACTTTGTGCAACAAGCTCCAGAGAGAATGTTTCCCTGAAAACTATCATCTAGGTCTCTTATATTTCTCCAAGGTCAACCTATATCTATCCTACTCTTCCTCATAATACTCTATCACTTCGATCGTCCAGGGTCTGACGATAAACTACATCCTGCAGCAAGGCCTCTGATCGGGAGATTGGAGGTTTTGAGGTGCGTGAAACGACTTGCTGTTGTAAGGTAGCGGTAAAAGTCATTGCTACATCCTAGTCTTTCAGTCTACAATCTTCGTATATCGGTTGAAATATGATGAAAATAATAAAGGTGAGTTATAATAAGAATAATTCGTTTAATATTGCTACAATAATTGAAATGCACACATCATGCAGAGAATTTTAATTGTTACCATAAATTAACAAAAAATGTGTTTTTTTTTAAATAATCAGAATGCTATCAAAATGGACAATGCAAAGACAGAGGGTCGCCTACCTATATATTATAGATTACACATTACGGAGTGAGAATAAATTGAGAACAGGACAAAGGAACATCTTTTCAAGGGATTTCCTAGACTGAAAAGCAATCCTTATAAAATTGCAAGTCCTTTATTATTTGAAACAATCTCATGATATCTAGATGCCACTGTATCGCTGGCAGACACAGAATGAAAACTGAAGGATCTCCTAAAGAACATGGTAAAGAAAAGCAGGAAGAAAGGACTAACTATAAATTGTAAGAAGACAGGGCGTATATTCATTAACAAGAGAAATATATAAGGTACTAATTGTAGATATAAAAATCAAGTAAATACAGAATTTAAAGATGTGGGAAGTTTTATGACAATTGAGGAGACACGGTGGAGTAATGGATAGCGGCTTGGATTGAGGAATCGGAGAGCCGAGTTCGAATTCAAGTCGAATCCATTACATTCACTTACGTGCTAATACCCATGGGAAAGGTGTGAATCCTCTTCTTCTCCCCCCAGCTGTAAATAGCAGGACAGACTGGGTTCTATAGCCTTGGATGGCAACTGGTATAGGAGAAGGAAAACTCTGAATTCAAAACCTGCGGAGAGTGAATGGAGTCTCTCTGAGCCTTGGCTGGCAATCCATTTAGTGATGGTGTCACGATAAAAACACCCTTGATAGCCCTAGCGAAGCATCAAGAATTCAGCTATTTGACAAGATTACGAACAACACCAATCAAAAAGTATTAGCTATGAATACTGGCAAGGTGTGGTGAGTTCAATCTCGGCTGAGGCCGCAAGATGATGATGATGTTAAAAATCGACCGAAAATGCGACAGAAAAACCCGAAGGTGGCTTGAAATAAAGAAAAATACCTTCAGAAAGCTAAAGAATGTGTTAAGAAACTGGAAAATTTCGTTAGATATAAAGAAAAGACTACTGAACTGCTATTTAATATCAACCCTATCGTATGACAGTGAATGATGGGCAAATTCTTTACAAATGAAGAGAAGACGTGAGACAACAAAGATGTTGTTTCACAGAAGAATGCTGAGAATACCATGGATGGAACAATGTGAGCAATGAGGAAGATTTTAGAAAAAGCACTTCTGCTTAATATCAAAAAGAGACCTGAAATTTCTGAGACAAATAGTAAGGAAAGAGAACTTAGAGAATTTGACACTCACAGGACAAATTATAGGCTCAGAGGTATACATCGAGTATCCTACATAACAAGCTTTGTGTAAAATGATGGTGGAGCAAGGACTGGGGTTGGTAGGGTGGAGACACGCATTACTTATATTAACAAAGGAAAGCCAAGACCACTCACATCCCAAAGAGACACATAATATGAAAGAAATTGGAATGATCAGAGTTTTGTACCGAATATATAAATACTTAGTTGAATATAACATTTTATACTTAATTACTGGCATAATTAATTAGTCCCCTATCGGTTTCGGTAATGAATTAAGCGAGCAAAATTAATTAATTGGGTATCGGTCATTAGATATCATTGTATTTTATAATTCAGCTCATCTCTTCATTGTGCGTCTTCTATTGAACTCCCAGTCTGTTGCATTTATTCATACTTTATCGTATTTTCTCTGCCAAATTGCTTCGGTTTATTGAATGCAGATAGACACATTTTTATTCGTTCCTAGAGACTCTCAAATCTTACAGGCTACAAAGAAACAAATTATAAAGTTAACAATTATTAGACAAAATATATGTCCTTATAAGACATCATTTTAAACAATTTGGTCACCTCATACAAGCCCCAAAAGTCCCCTAAAGTAGTGTGTTACTAAATTATATGTACGTAGGTGGGTAAGTTCAGATTATGAGAATACGTACGTTGATTCTAGCTTTGAAGAGGTTAAGATTGTAGTGGTCAAGGAAGCATCTTCCATAATGTAGCGGCTCTTGGAAAGAATGTGTCCGAATGAAACTCACTCCTTACTATTTTGTGGCAGACATGATGAGACAGAACCTGGGACGAGCACAACTGGTTGTGACTTGCCTTGTCCTCGCCAAAAAAGAGCCCGTATTTGCTTAGCATGTAAAGCTACTGCAGTTGAAATGAGAGAGAAAAAAAGCACTTAACGCTCTGCCGTAATCCGTCCTCGGCCAGATAACGTAAAAGAATGAGGGGGGACTTGCATTGCATTTTTATGCAATAAAGATGCAATGCATTATGGGACAGAGACGCAATGAATTATGGGATTGCATGAAGACGCAAAGGATTATGGGTATATGGACAAAGATAAAAGCAACTAATTTCTCCCAGTGGGGGGTGCTTTGAGTAACGTTCACGATTGGCGGCTAGAAAAGCCTGTTAGTGCGATTTTGAGACAGCACTCAAGAAGGAACGACTCAAGGTTGAAATACCAGCTGGGAGAGCTTGAATTTACTCGCTGGTTGCTGTTTTCTTTTTATTTCGCCACAAATACGTTGAATGTCTGAATGATAGAACAAGGGAAAGCAGTTCGTCAGAACATTCGCCATTTAGATAAAGATCAGCGAAAGATTTGCGACGTTGGGCACGTAGAAGAGGCGTGGAAAATAATTCATCACCCACAAGGCGGTGTACACGATTTTGAAATCCGTCGAGAGTGGAAATTGAAGAGTATGGAGCTCCAGCTCAGATATAATCACTATACTCTAGTTTTTAGTATGACCGGACTCTTGCAAAACATCACTGGTGTAGTCAGGTAATTTCTGGAGCGATTTAGGATCCCGTCATTTTCCCAGCATCCATAGATATGAGTTCTACTTGTCTGGGGGTTAAGCGAAACAGGACGAGGAAAATTGTATGCTGAATTTCAAAACAGGTATTTTCTTCTAAGCAGCCAACTATTATAGTTATGACAGTACCAATTTGCTGGTTGGAATCCACGCAAAGGACAGTCATGTTCGTTACTAAACCACTTCATATTAACGCTACCTGTCGAATTACAATTTAATGTCATTTCAACGGACAACAATTATAGGTTCTCTTACTGATAAGATCTATATCAATAACTATTGTTAGGTTCCTCCCAACAACCACTTGTAAATTAGTCTATATATAAAGTTACAGACACAGGATAAAGGAAAAAACAGGTAAAACTTCAAGAACATCGTAAAGCCGTAACACAAGTGAAAATAGAAAAAAATCAGGCATAAGTTGAAATAATAGATACATCACTGGAAAATATGAAAATCTAAGGAATCAGCACATATGCTAGGCGGCACAAATCTCGTAAATAGTCCAAGTATAGAAATGAATACAATATGGGAACTAGTAATACGGAGTGTTAGAGAAAAGCAATAGTAACAACAAAATTCCAATATGAGCTCTGGTAAAAAAAAAAGGGGGGTTACTGAGACGTTAAGTTTATAAGTCTCCAAAATTCATACACTGATGTCTTGAAGGACACCTGGCCCAGTAAAATAAAAGCTGTGGTTGGATCCAGTGATTTGACCAAAAGAGTAACCAAATACCTGGCTACTGCAGTGTTGTACAAAAATTTGGAGAGTTGAGTTAAATCGAGATAACTGAGGCATCCGTAAGAGGCATGGCACGTGGAACTAGAACTATCTAGCGCGGTGAACAAAAGAAAGGGTTCAGTTCGAAATTCCATTCGCCCAAAGAAGGCTGGAACGTACAATGGCCGAAACGTCGTAAAGATGACAATATAGATGAGGACAACAGTCCGAACAATGTAAATAAATGCATTTCTGTTACAATTGCTCTAGTCTTAATCTTCATAAATGCGTGGAGAAGGAAGCTGTGGAGAATAATAATTGTTATATGAACGTAAGAAGAGAAAGTAGAAAGTGAAGATTATGAAGATATGGCGGATAGATAACGCTTGACCCCAGATTTGATGGTGTTACATTTGTTCGGGGAAGCATTTACATGGGTGTCTGTTCAAAGTAGTGGTTATGGGGGAAAGTGATGGGTTGTTTTTCCTTAAGGACAGATCAACACCTCTATGGGTTATTTAATGTATCCGAAATATTTGCCGTAAACATTTTTACCGTATGAAAACTCACCTGAAGAATTTTTGCTGTAGGTAACTTCGCCGTATAGGATTTTTACCTTAAGACAATTTCGCCGCATTTTTTTTTTCGATACCTTTATCTTGAACTTCACTTTTGGAATAATGTTCAATTTAATACGCAAAGTACTATGTTATCAAGTATATATGGATGTCTTTTTTACAGGGTCAAACATAAGAAAAGGAATTAAGAAGTAAACATTTATTTAAAAAATAAAAATATATCAAATTAACAAGGAAATAATTTAAAATGTGTGAAAATTCCAAGCAATGCTGCGTAAATAATGTGTGTTTTGCGTTGGACTGTAATGAAACATTTTCCGCTGAGTTCTTGCATTGATATCAATATATATTTTCTTCATTTGTATTGCATCTCTTCGATCTAAATTACACTTTTTCTTTTTTGCTAATGCTTCTTCCTTTTTCAAATACGCAATTAGTTTCCACAAATATGGGTTCATGTTAATATATCTTCGCTTATTAAAATGTTTAAATCCACGTAACAATAGTGTTAGCCAGATATACTTGATAAGAAGGTACTTCGCATATTAAAAAAAAATGAGGCGAAATTGTCTTACGGCAAATATCCTATACAGCAAAGTTTTCTACGGATAAAATTTCTGAGTCGAGTTTACCTACGGCAAAAATGTTTTTGGCGAATGTTCCTAGAACCGTTATTTAATGCCGAAATCTAAATATTTTGTGCGAACATAGTAATAAATTTTTATTTCATTTTTTGGAAATATTAATGGTTTTAGTGATACAAGTTTTACTAATTAACCCATAGCTGGAGAGAGAAGAGGTGGATTTATACCTTTCCCAAGGGTATATGCGCGTAAGTGAATATAACGAATTCAAGTGGAATTGAAACTCGGCTCTCCAATTAACAATTACGAGTTATCATCCGTTACACCACCTGCACGTCGAAACTTACGCAATCTGGTATTACCAAGCGGTCACCCTATCTAGGTACTGACTTGGCTCGACGTTGCTTAACTTGGGTCATCTACGGGAAGCAGTGTTTCAATATAATATGGCTGTAAGTCGATTTGGTTTCCTGCTCTGGACATAACTACCTTAAAACTGACCATAAGAGGAATACTTTCTAATGTTTATATTAATAATATTAATAATAATTAATTAATTAATTAATATATGTATTTATTAATTCAATAAGCTTACTCTTTTCACTTATTTAAATAATTACAGTAATCGTATGGTGTCCGAAAGGCTATCCGTGGAAGAATTTTGTGGAGTAGAACGCCTTTCTTACCAAAGGAACATGTGGAGAATCAGGGTAATTCGACCCCGTGGACATAGGAAATACTGTCACAACGGGGTTCCAGATTAGTTTGCAAAGCTGGGCCTCACGACGAGGCAGTGTTGATTTGCGTCTATTTGTCTTCCTGTCAACGTTCTTATGTTTTTAGTTGAGTGCATGTCTATGCGTGTAAACGGGTGTACATGTGTGTTGGTGTAGACATGCAAATATAAGGAAATGCTTATGATTCCAACTAAGAAGCTTCATCAGATCCAATCAAAACTGCAGAAATTTGTTTCTTTTTTCTTTGTCAGTTGGAATATCAGTATTTTGTGAGATTTTAGAGTCGAATTTCGTTACTACTCTTTCCCACTCATTCTCTCTTTCTCTCTCTCTGATTCACTCACTCATACTAACTTTCTCATTCTCGCTATTTCTGCCAATTTCTTTCTTTCTTTCTTTCTATCTATCTATCTATCTATCTATCTATCTCAGTCTGGGGTAGTTTGTAAATCCCCATAATTTAAAGACACTTGGCCCAGTGGATAACAGTGTTGGTCAGATCCAGTAACTTAATCCAAAGTATTGAGAGTTCAATATCTGGCTGCTTCTACATAGAGAGTTGAGTTAAAGACATCCGGAAGAGGCATGACACATGGAACTAGAACAATCTATCCCGGTGTACGAAATAAAGGTTTCAGTTCGAAATTTCAAATACCGGAAAAAGGCCGGAGTGTATCACGAATATGGCAATAATTATTCGGGCAACAGTGCGAACAATGCAAATAATGTAAATATCTATCTATCTATCTATCTATCTATCTATCTATCTATCTATCTTCTCTAATTTCTCGAATGTCCAGGTCAGTAGATGTAAATAGATAAATATACTGTTTAATGAATAAACTGAGCGTCTACTCGGATACGAGAATCCACTAAAATAAGGTTTAATAAAAATCTGTCGGATTAATAAATAAAAACTCCATCCCTTTCTTTACAAATTGCTTTGTTTACGTTTGGATACGAAACTGAGCAGATATGTCTATTTCAAGAGTCCGAGATAAAATCTGTGTTTAAAGGCACTATTCAGCTTTGCTTTGTCATTGCCCCACTCTATAGTCGAGAGGTTAAAGCCCGAGAGGGAAGGCAGGTTCGAATCCTGTCAGAGAGCGCATATTCCTCACTAATAAGATTTCTCGAATATTATAAATATACTGTTTAATAACTAAACGGAGCGGTTACTCAAATATAAGTATCTACTAAAACAACGTTTAAGTAATAAAAATCTGTCGAATTAATAAATAAATAAATAAAAATTCCTTTCTTCATGTGTTTTTATCTGGTTGTTTGTCTTTTCAGAGCTGTCTCTGTTCATAGCCGAGTCTCTTCCTATCTATCTATCTATCTATCTATCTCAGTCTGTTCATATCTATCTATCTATCTATCTATCTATCTATCTATCTATCTATCCTGTCCTATGTCTTTTCCAATCTCTATTCCTTTCTATACTAAAGTATATAAGAAAGTGTCTGGTTTTTCTGTTTCGATTTTTTAATTGTCTCTCTCAAAATACCTTTTTCTTTTCATTCAATTTTTATTTATTCCGTATCATTATTATTTTCTTTTTCTCTCTGATGCCACGTACCAAATAAACCTTTTCTTCCTCCTTTTAATAATGTACCTTTCTTTAATCGATTCGTCTCTATTGCTCTCTTTCGATTTCAGCATTCTTAATTATTCTTTGATTATTTTGATTAATTTTTTTTTCGTTTCTTCGTTACAGCCACATCTTAAAAACTTCATTATTCCTTCCCATCTCCCTGTATTTTTCGTTTCTTTTAATTTTGCGTTTTCTTCTCAGGCTACCCTTTAATCTTTTTTAGTCTTTCTTGCTTTATCTGTTTATTGCATCTGAGGACTCAACGATTCTTGAATCCCAAAAGAATCTGCCCCAAAGCCAATTTCAGACGAACCAATTACAATGCGCCTATCTGTCTTCCTTCCTGACAGATTTCTCGTTGTTCTTTCTTCACCCAGGCATCTATCGTTCTTATCAACGGAATAATTACAAGAAAGTTTGTCCACTTCATCAACCACATGACTACGGGCGTTAGAAGACCTACTTCTGGCAAAGGATAGTTCACAACTGTCGATTGTGATTTTCCAATACGGAAACAAAACTGAATTTGATGATCAGCCTCCAAGAGGCCAATGGTAACTGAAGAAAACATGAACCCCGACTATTTGAATTTCTTAGACTAGCTGAATACCCGTCCGACGAACAAAGAATAGTTGACATAGAATTTCTCTTATCTCTCAACTCTTGTTCACCCCTTTGAACAGCGGTTTCAGCAAGAAATCTCTTGTCTAATGTTCTTTGTGTCATTATGCTAAGCCCACTTGATTGATTGACTCGTTTTCTATGGCTTATCAACTTTTTGCCAGGTATTTAGAGCTAGAAAATATTTTTTTTAGATTGTAAAATGTTTTTTGGCAGATAATGGTTTAGAAATAGAAATCTTACTAATCGCTGAAGGGAGAAAAGGAAGATTTATATATAACGAATCCAACGGGAACTGGAATTCGGGTCTCCGATTAACAATTCCAAGCCATAATCCATCACACCATCCGAAAATCCAAGCCTACAGCACCTGGTATACCGATGCGGTCACCCATCTAGGCTCAACGTTGCTTAACGTGATAATTATATTTAACTAAACAAACTTTTTTTTCACTTGTTTAAATAATTTGGTACAGCTTTGAAAAATTTAATTAAATAGATTATTTAGACATTTTTAAAGAATTCCATAACTTTAGAAATTTTTAAAGAATTCTATAAATTTAGACATTTTTAAAGAAATCCATAAATTCAACTAATTTGAAGTAAAGCAAAATAGGAAACAATAGTAATGATTATTATGAACGCTGCAGGTTTTCTAACTTAGGACTGGATGCAGATATAAAGTCTTTCTATACAAACACGATGAGCTTCAAAAGAAAACTATTCTACATAAACATCATACTTATTATAAAACCCAGGTTGTGTGTCTGTTCGTTTATATATTGGATCAGATTTCCTACATTTTTCAACCGATTTCAACAAAACTTCATAGGACTACGTAAAATTACCTTGCGATGGTTCTGACAGCGCCCAAAATTGGAAAAAACACAATTGTTTTTGCACGAAATCAATTTGAAAAGACGATTAAGAGGCATCGCGAGAATGAAAGGGAGACAACTCATATCGAATTATATTTATTATAAAACTCAGGTTGTGTGTGTGTGTGTGTATGTATGTGTGTGTGTTTTTGTTTATATATGGGATCAGTTTTCCTACATTTTTTAACCGATTTCAACAAAACTTCACTTTTTTTTGATAGGTAGTGTTTCTTATTGTCTTGCGCACTTTTTTCTTTATTTTTACATTCAGAATGCTTTAAAAATTCCATTTACAAGACAATTGTTTATAATAAAATTCTATACAATCGGTAGACTCATAACGATTGAAAACAATGTTTTTGTTTGAGTTTGGGTTTGACAAATTCGTAAAAAAAACTCCCAAAAAACTAATTAAGACATTCGTGCCCGTCAACCTTAAACAATAATCTTTGTCAATTTTATTTTTCAGTCTTTATGATAGTCGATACTTGATCTATCTCTTACTGTTACATCCCCGGGCAACGCCGGACTCTACTGCTAGTTGCTTATATATGGCAATTTTTCAAATTTTAATTAAAGATATATAAAACAGAAGAAATATTTATTAGCTATGCACTTAAACATTGTTATGCCGATTAAATATTACTGTTAATATTTGTTAGTGATATACATATGAAATAGTTAATATGGTTGGCTGATCAAAGCGTAGTATCCGTTCTCTCTCTTCAATCACTTTCTCCGGCCCCACCGCCACAAAAGGTTCTTGATTCTGTCTTTTGGCGGAATACAAAGGTCATTCTTGTTTTTGAGGATTAGACGCTTTCTCACTAACATATATGTAATTTCGTTGTAATGTTTTGTTTGAAAACATTTCAACGAAATCTTTTATTTAGATTTAATGTATCCCCTGTCATGTTATTATACATTCTTTTTGTATTTTTGTAAAACAAAATAAAAATAATTGTAGATATCCAGAAAAAAATCATAATCATTTGGGTATTAGTAGGTCCCCTGCGAAAATGAGGCATTTTGGTAGATGTTTGAATTGAATAGAGTTCTCAGGGTTATTGGGTCATTTTCAGAGTAAATTGGTTGTGAACCGGATTAGCAAGGAATTGGATAGACAGTACCAGACTTTACCCCTCTCCCTTCGACCTTATACAAATTTAAAAATGTGTAAAATAAATATTTGAGATGTGAGAAGACACCCGGACTGAGGAATTCAATTCTACGACAGAACCTTACTCATTGCGCAAAGAGAATCTGGTCGGTGTAATCCTGACACCAACGAGAGGGTGGTCGGAGGGACTGGGTAATTTTTGTCTTTGACCCGTATACATGTTCATGCATATGGGTTCCACACTTTAAAAACGATCTTGTATCACATCCAACCTTAGAGGAAAGGTGAGGTAAATAATCGCCTAGTATACGTCTCATTTGAGATGAGGCATTACATCCGGCCCCGGGGAATGCAATCCTGCCGCAAATCCTGGTGTAGGTCGACGCCAAACGAACGGTGGTTTCAGGGAGTGAGTAATTTTTGTCCTCGGTCTAAATGCATGCGTATGAGTAACCTGCATAAAAAGACTGCTTTGTTTCTATCTTCGAATAGTTCATAGAAAGTTTGGAAGAATGCTTGCTCCTGGCGATTGCAACCCTGTTGCAACATACCCCACGCAATGCACTAAAGAGAAAGGTTGCAACTAATCTTTATCGCAACTAATATACTAAACAAGGTCAAAGTTCAATACAGTGGAATTTGATGTAGAAAAATAATATAGACATTATTTGAATGACGTTTGTTTGTAAAGTCTTGTGATATAATTGCAAACATACTGTCACGTTAAGAGAGGTTTCTAAAGATAAAGGCTGACACTCAACTGAATTTTTTCTTTATTTCTGAATTGTATTATTTCACGAGCTGGGATTTGCGATAAAGACCATTCGAAGATTAAAAAAAATGAATATTCAACAATTCATAAGTTACATTATTTAAAACTGTCGTCGTCGGCTTTATCTCATATGCTAGAATTTAATTTCCTCTTTGCTGATCGCTTTCTTTATTATGAAGGCGTTGATGAATAACTTCGCCGTCAAGAGATTACTGGTTCAGGATTAGAAGAATTCACCAAAAGCTGCTCCCGTCATCACTTCACTATCGCCATTTTGGCTTTGAAAGAGTTGGTTGGAGCAGTAAAAGAAAGTGCCGATGGCGTTGGTTAGAGGTGAAAGTAAGAAAGCGTCAATGGTGTGATTTGTTTAAGGTCGACCTCAACCTGCTAGGAAGTGAAACACACATTTTCATGACCTTCCTCTGTGGTAAATATTTAATGAGACATGCACAGGGCCATACCTATAACAGACCAGGAAATCATGCACATAGGGTCTCTTAGTGAGGGCGATGTGAATTTTCTTTGATAATCAATATGGCAGTTGCAAACAGAGAGAAAAATCACCTGTGTGATTAGCTTGATGTTTTGTGATTTTCATACCAATACAAGGACCACAAGAGGCTAATTGGTAAATTTGGCGATTATTGACGAATTCTTGTAAATGAAAGGACAGGTGCAAATGTATATTTCAATGAGTGATTTTTTTTTCTATGTGGATTTTTTAAGTGAATTTTGTACTTGTGTCATTCAACATAGTACGTCACAAGGACCTGCTGGAAATGCTCAGCAACCTTAT